TCCTGCAGTTTTTCACTATTCTCTATATTTAACAATTCACTTTTTATTGATTTACTCTAGTCGTCTTCCCTGCTACCATCTTGGCTGGCTTATGTTTTCACGATGCCTGCAATGTGATTTCTCTCTCTCTTCCATCAACCACCCCTCCAATCCACTGTCCATACTACTTACAACCTTGATTGATTCATATTCTTCTAAGGATCAATTATAGCTTCATAACATAAAGTTCTATTCCCCGCTACCAATTCAGTTTCATCTCTCCATCCACTCCCCAACCTCTGTATTTTTCATTCAGTTCCTTGAACTGCCCTCTTGCTTTTAATTAAAATCAGCTGATTCCTAATCTACCCTCTCTGCTTTATCATAAACTCTATGCCCTCAGGTCTTTCCCAATACAGTTGTCTTCAACATTTACTGTAATGGTTGGCACACTCGATGGTTCGAGTCGTAGATTTGGTAGCTTGAAAATCATGCCAGGCACATGTGCACTCGTGCCTAAAATCCAGAGAGGATAATGAAGGGATTACAGAATGGTTACACCCCCAGTGGATGATTTCTCACTTTCTCTCTCTGTTTTTCTCCAGCAAGCACACACGTCCTATAGCAAAAAAAAAAAAAAAAAAAAAGGGGGGTTAATTTGACTTAACACCTACTCTTACTAATCACCTACTCTCCTACTCTCCTTTCCCAAATATTGGCTGAGTTTATGAATCCTTTGAAGACTCTTAGCCAGAGCTTCCTAGCAACTCAAGGGAGCCTAAAGGTAGACCGGTATAAACTCCTAAAAGTTTATACAAAATGCTATGTATTGTGTATTGTGCATTTTTTCTGAGTAGCGTGCATCCAAACTATCAGGACCATGGCCCCTGATAGTTTTAAAACAACTTGAAGTTTAAGTAACTCCTTACAGAATTTTGCTATCATTCAACTCTCTGTCTAAAGTTTCAGAATGCACATATTTCTGTCTTTAGAAAAATCAAAACTGTATTGTCTCATCTCTAGCCACCTAGGGCCTCCATCACTTTCCAGAAAGCCCTAAGAGAGCTTGCCCACTGGTACCTTTTGAGACACTGAATGCCTTCTTTCAGGTCAGCTTCGCAAAAGATCCTTAGAGGCCGACTTATGTAGGCCTTTTGCCTCCTTGTCACATGTCAGGATCCAGCTTGAAGAGAATTCCTTTGCTTGCACAAAGTCAGCAGAGGCACAGTTGCAAAAGGCCTTTCACATAAGGCTTCTGGCAAGGTCAAGATAGATGAGGTGCCAAAGGAGAAACTCACAGATTGAAATGTGGATTAGAGAGGGAGCTGGTACACCCAGAGACTTGGAGCGTTACAAATCCTCCCTTCTTTAGATTAGTGGAAGATATACCTTTTCTTTATAATTGTGGTACATTTTTACTCTTATCATATTGTATGATAGATGATAATTTTCAGATATACTTTTGTATCTCTGTCATCTAATTCAATATCTGAACATAGTGGTCATTCACAAGAATTCATAGAGCATCCCAGCTGGCTCCAAACACAGGCTCTAAAGATACTATCATAAGACACAAAGCGTTGATCCCTGCCCTCAGGGAGTTTACAGACCAGTGGGGGAAAGACAAGTAAATGAATAGTTTCAATAAAGAATGCTAAGTACTTGAATAGTATGAAGAAAGCAAGCTCTGGAAGAATAGGGAGGGCCATCGACCCATTCTTATGGATAGAGAGCAAAGGGGCTGGATAGTTTCCAAGAGAAAGTGGCTTTCAGTTGAGTCTTTAAAGAAAAATAGAGGTTAGACCACAGCTAAAAGTACAAGGAGGAAAGTCATTTTTAGCATATAGTTTAATATGCCTAAATTTGTATACAATGTGTATAAAACGTGCAAAAATGTGGAGGAGTGGAAAGATGTAAGATTAAAGAGTACAATAAAAGGCAAGCTGGGAAACCAGCAGTTGGCTTAATGGCTATGTCACTGGACTCCCATATAGCTGACCAGGATTGGAATCCCAGACCTGCATATGTGTGCGTGCCCAAGATCCTGAGAGAATAAGAGAAGAAGGGATTGTAGCATGGCCATATCCCCTGGGGGGTGATTTCTCGCTTTCTGTCTCTCTGTCTCTCTCTGCCTTTCTGGTGAGTGCATGCATCTTATGTCAAAAACCTCTCTCTCAACAAGAAAAACAAACAAACAAACAAACAAAATGGCAAGCTGGGACCAGCAGATGGTGTAATGGCTACGTCGCTGGACTCCCATGTAGTCAACCATGGTTTGAGTCCCAGACCTGGTGGCTTAAACTACGCTGGGTGAATGAGCATGCATGCCCAAGATCCCTGGAGCAGAATGGAGAAGAATGGATTGCAGCGTGGCCATCCTCCCTGGGGGTGATTTCTCACTTTCTGTCTCTCTGTGTCTTTCTGGTGAGTACACACACACACCCTCTAGCAAAAACCTCTCAAAAAAAAGGTAAGCCAAGAAGAATGTAGAAATACCAACATTATTCATAAAACAAAACATATCAAAAAAAAAAAGGAATCCACTGAAGACTTTTCAAAAAGACATGCAGGATCACACTGCATTTTAGAAAGACCATTTGACATAGTATGCAAGCAAGATGGAACCATGGATTGGGAAGGACTGGTCCCAGATGAGATTAATAGGATGTTCTGAACAAAATGGAATTTGAAGTGGTGCTGGCCTAAGCTAAAACTGTTCCGGGAGGACACAGAAACAAGTATGTGTAAGAACTAAATTCAGCAGGTAAAATAGACTGAACTTGTGACTGAGTGTCATGAATGAAGGAGAGAAGGTTACCTAGGGTGATTGTTGTGTCTGGCTGGACAATTGGGAATGCCATTTGAACAGAGGAAAGGAAAAGAGGCAGAACAGGCCTGGAAGAAGGAAGGAAAAGACAAATTCAGTCTTGAACATATTGATTTTAAGCTGCCCAAGGAGACATCCAAGTGGAGCTCCATTCCCAGATTCAACCTAAAAGTCTGGTGTTTCAGGAGAAAGATGAGTTGGGCTATAGATTTGCGACATGGTATGTACATGTAGTGACTAAAGTTATTGACGTGGATATCAGGAAGAGTGAAGAGTGGAACGAAAGAGAATCAAAGAACAATGAGGCCAGCAGGTGGTGTGGTGGTTAAGTGTACTGAACTCCTACATGGCTGACCATAGTTCAAGTCCTGAACCTGGTGGCTTGCTTTCTCACTTTCCCTCTCTCTCTGTCACTGTTTCTATCTGGTCAAATTAAAATAATAATGATGATGGATAAAATTAAATAAAATAATTATTAAAAGAAGAAAAAGAAAAGAACAGCTGAGCATTCTAATGTTATGAAGTGAAGCTTCTCCAGGCATTAAAGAGTAACTCAAAAGGCCAGAAGGAACCAAAGAAGCATGGTATTACAGAGTCCAGGAATTAAGGTTAAAAAAAAAAAATTAGGGAATGACCAACAGTTCAAAATGACATATGGGGAGGAGGGGTGTGAAATGTCCTCTGATTTAGCCACAAAGAAATCTTTGGTGACCTTGGCAACAGCTGGTCCTCAGAGGTGAGGGCAGATGCCAGCTAACCTGGTTGCGCAGGAGAAAACGAGTAATGTGGACACTGGGGTAGCAAAGGTCACCCACTCTTTCAAGAAGTTTGGACCCAGTCTTTCAGAAGTTTGGAGAGAAAGAGGAGGAGAAAAAAAACGAGAATGCAGCTGGAGGGGAGAGCGGAAGCTCAATAAATACCTAAGGGAGAGAAGTGTAGCAATCCTCCCAGTGGAACTGGGTATGTGATAAACACAAACACAAATACCAGAACTAGTGCAGGTTCCCTCTCAGTCCCGCTGAGCACTAGAAAGGCTTTTGTTTTCATTCCCTCTATCAGCGAGAAAGGCTCCGTGCATAACCTGTTAAAATGAAACCAGAGTGTGGAAGCCCAGCAAACTCGGAAACCCTTTGACCCACCGCTCCGCACCTGAACACCGGCTGTGCACGCTGCCCCCGCGAAGGGCCCACCTGCTCAGTTTGCCCTTGGAAAGTTCCAAGTCCAGATCAAAAGCACCCATAATCAGTTGAGACCCCAGGCTCCCTCTATTCTTATCCAAAATTAGCCGGATCCATTTAAAAGGCTTGTTCAAATAAAGAAGTACAAAGGGCCGAGAGACTGGCTGCGCCGGATCTGTGCCTGTCAATCAACATCTTTCCTTTGTGGAGCCTGTAAGGGGATTCACCGTGGGGCTGGGCCGCCCCCACAAGGGAGATGTTTTCCTGCAGACCAGGGTAGGAGCTCAGAGAACACTACTGAAACACAGCTTTAAAAAATCTCTATCCTCCTTGCCTAGCCTTGTCCGACAGGTAATAAACAAGAAGCCGAACTGCCTTGCTGCTCAAGGAGGGCTGCGCTCGCCCCACACTGCGGGGGGTCATGGCCAAGGGGGCTCTCCCCCTTGCCACGGTCTCGAGAGTTAGGAGCCGAGATTCGTCCACAGACTCTCTCTGCAAGTCCTACCGGCTCCTTTCCCACAACCCAGATACATATTTACACACCCAAACATTCTCTGGCAACAAAATCTCGAAATCAGTTCAGCTCCGCATTTGCGCGCCTGGAAATGACTCCAGCTGGGCGCACTGGAACGCAGCCCAACATGACCGTTTTCCGGCAAATCTGGAGGCCTTTTGCAAGCTTTCTCTGCTTGACAGAACAGCAGCTTTGACTCGGGGACCCAAGCAATGGAGGACGGGTAGGGAGAGGTGCCTACCGTACCGGATCCGCGTAGCGGGTCATGCTGCGGGCGTGTCTGTGCCTGTGGCGTCTCGGGTGCTGCGAATGTGGCCTCAGCTGCGGGCCGGGACCCGGGAGCTGTGCCCAGGCCGGCTGCTCCGGACTGCTCTTGTTTGCACTGGGCCGTTTGCTTTTGGGATTTCTCCAATGCAGATGTAGTCAGGGGGCCGCTGTCCCGGGGGACAATGATTCCATTGGAAGCTGGCCTTTGACAAGACACACACATGACCTTTGACTAAAATGGCTTTAGGGAAGGAAAGTGTCCAGAGGCTGAAGACTAGGCGTCCAACGCAGCCATCCACATTCCCACCCCCAACAGTGCCTAGTTAATTTTTCATCTTTGAAGGAGTTTCTGTAAGGTTTGGTTTGCCATTTCTCCCTTCTGTAGGATTTGTTCCCTGTTTCCAAAGGGATTTCTGCAGCATTTGCCTACTGTGTTACTGGTGGTGTCTGAACTAGCATTTCCAGGTTAAACAAGGACAGCAAATGTTGTACACCGACCTCCAACTCTCAAGAAGATGACCACTCTTTTTTATTTTTTTTTCCTGGAGCATGCTACAGTTTACAAAGGGCTTTTCACAAAGGGCTTTTTACAATGGTACTGTCATTTGGCTTCCCAAAAAATTCTAGGGAGGCTCTTCTATCACTGTCATTTCATAGAAGAGAAATAGGAGCTTCAGAAAAATATTCTTCCAATCACCCATCCAGAAAGTAAAATCTAGGTCCTCTTACTCCACATCCATGAGATCATTCACCTCCCTGCAGGATGGTCCACACTACCTTAATGACAATACAATTAACATGAAGCAACAAGAGCTCTAATTATGTAAAAAAAAAAAAATTTTAATTATAGAAATGTTAGAAAAAAATTTTTGAGAGGTTTTTGCTAAAGGCCATGTGCGCTCACCAGAAAGACAGAGACAGACAGACTGAAAATAGCAAATCCCCCCCAGGGGGGATGGCCATGGCACAATCCCTTCTCCATTCTCCTCTCGGGATCTTGGGCACACATGCACACGTGCCCAGTGTGAGTTTAAGCCACTGGGTCCGGGACTCAAACCCCAGTCAACTACATGGGAGTCCAGCGAGGTAGCCATTATACCATCTGCTGGTCCTAGAAATTGTTTTAATACACTAGTTTTGGTCATTGATATCCACAGATGTTTTGGATTTGTTGACAATGTTTTTTTAAAGTTTATTTATGTATTCATTCCATTAGAGAAAGATACACAGTGACAGGCACCCCTCAAAGAATTCTCACACAGTGATCCATACCCAGATTCAGCATGCACTTGCTCAGCAAGATCTGGGAAGTCCCGGGACAGGAACCTAGGACCTTTCCAATATGGATCCAGTTGCGTTGCCACAGTCCCACCACCTGATGCCTAGATTTATTTTTTTTCTCTATTTTTCTCTTTACCAGCTGCAAAAAGGATGCTATAGGAACCAGAAGGCCAAGCCAGGCATAAAAAAAAAGCCAAGCCAGGCATTCCGGAGGCTGCTACCAGAGTCCCCGGTCTCCACTGTCAGCACCTTTTCTCCTACATGATAAAATACTAACCCAAAAAGGAAGGGGCTGTGGGATTGGGAAAGGAGTCCTGGACAAGCAGGCAGCATCATGGAGTCTCAGAGGCACGAGGAGAACTGTGACAGTGTGTGCAGATGCCTATGATTCGCCTGTGGTAAAAGGTAGAATCATCCTCATGTTTTTGGCTTACGGAAAAGGATGGGGATGGTCAAGCTTGCTGTCAATCTTGGACTCAGCCAGGAGAGGGAGAAGGATATCACCCACCCAGACAACACCCTATACAAAAGCCGCGGAAGTGCATGAGCTGAAAACGGTTGGGGCAGCCAAGAGCAGTGTATGAGAGGCTGTGTGTAGAGAGGAGGCTGTGGTTTGGACTCTGACCAGCCTCATGTGTCACTCTAGGGAATGTGGACTTCATTCTGCAAGGCTGAATGGGTTAATATAACAGGCCCTGGGTTATCAGCTCACAGGAAAAGGATACTCTGTCCTGCCAGAAAAAAAGATACATAACATACCTTGGTGGTTGGGTCATTGGCTTCATCAGACAAACACATACTGTTTTTAAAAAAGAATTATTTTATTTAACTTTATTTATTATTATTATATTTTAATTTGACCAGAGAAAGAGAGAGAAAATGAGAAAGCAAGCCACCATGTTTGGGACTCTAACCATGGTTGGCCATGTGGGATTCCGGCAGTTTTAACCACCATGCCACCTGCCAACTCCCAAACTCGTACTTTCTTTTCTCCTCTTTCTCACGCCCCCCTCCTTTACCTACTACTAGTGTGTGTGTGTGTGTGTGTGTGTGTGTGTGCGTATTATTAAGGCTCAGTTTTTTCGTTACTAAATTGGTGTATTACTGTGGTGTATGGTGTGAGAATCAAATAAAATTTTGTTGGTAAAATCCTTAGCTTTTCTTCAGGCATAGAGTCATACTCAATAAAAGGTAGCTCTTATTATATTCTGAAGTATAATACTTTTAAGTATGCAGAGCTTACCATAGAATAATAAGGAACTACCCTTTCATCTAGTTTTCTCACTCCTTTCTTCCACTATACTTCAGGCTTTAGACCCAGAAGTTTCTCCCTTGTTCCTCCCACTTCTTATCTTTTAGTTACTCCTTGATGTTATTATTTCCTTTAGATCCTAGACTAGATTTTAACATCAATTTCAGTCTTTCTCTCCTTCTACCTGAGTTTGTCCATTTGCTTGTCTTACCATGCTGCAAAAGCCCTACCCAAGATGTAGTTATCAGCTAGAGCTTGTCATCCTCTCATAGATGCATGTATTGGCACCACCATTGATGTGTGGTTTGCAGCTTCAGCAACTGCAGTCCTTAGAAGTGTCCTCGGCCAGCTCACCTCTCTGATGACACAAAATCACTCTTCCCACCTATTCAGAACACTGCCCGCCCCCACCTGGCTTTCTTTTAGCAAGGAGCCCCCAATTCACCAACTTACATTATACAGTTCAATGATACAGAAGTATGTAGCCATCATAATAATCAATTTTAAAATAGTTTAGCACTTCATAAAATATACCCATTAACTGTTATTACCTGTGTCCTTCCAGCGTCCTAACTTTCAGTAATCACTAATCTCTCATCTTTATGAGATTTGCTTACTCTGGTCATTTTGCATGAATGAAATCATACAATAAGGTCTTCTGTGACTGGCATCTTCTCACTTTTGAAAACCTATTTGGCCATAGTATTCCTTTCAAGTTGAGTGTGTGTGACAAGAGTATGGACTCTGGCAGAGATTTTGGAACCGTGGCAGTAGGTCCAAGACTTGATCTATGGGGTTGGCCATGGGGATCCAGCCACCTTAACCACCACACCACTAGCTGGTCCCAGATGGATTTTAAGATGACTCAATTTTGCCTCACCAACCCTATCTCTGCTGGGTCACTTGGACAGGCTTCCCTGTGCCATTGGGATCACACATTGAGGGTAAACTCTCTGGGTCCATCTCTAATTTTGCAATGTATTAACCATAACTCTTCATGTCTTGCTTCCTTATCTCTAAAAAGGAGATTTAAATAATTCCTACATTATAGGCACCACCGTTGTAGAATTGTTGTATAAATTAAATGGTATGCACAGTTCAGGGCATTCTATAGCACCTGGGACATTGTGCTTGTGGTTATTTACCTGACCATTGCTGTTTGAATATTCTTCTAAGTAAAAGTTTGTATGCAAAAGGGGTTCAGGTGCTTTTAAAATGTTTTGCAAACTAAGGCAGCAAGTGGCATGGAGGTTAAGGTGCTGGGTCTCATATGACTGGCTGTGAGGTTCAAGTCCCAGACTCAGTGGCTTGAGAATCATGCCAGGCACATGTGTGTGAGCCCAAGATCCCAAAAGGAGACTAGAGGAGATGGGATTGCAGCATGGCCATCTCCCCTGGGGGTGATTTTTCACTTCCTCTCTTCTGTGTCTGTCTTTGGTGAGTGCCTGTGCCCTATAACAACCTCTCTCTCTCTCTCTCTCTCTCTCTCTCTCCCTCTCCATAATATGCAAATCATTATTCTCAGAAAACTTCACACAGAATGCAGATATCTACCACAGGTAGTCTTCTATGTTCTACTTTCTGAGAGGTAAGACAGGGACAAGATTTAACTGAAGCTGAAGAGGAATTATCAATAGAGAGTGAGGGACAGATCAGCTCAGTGGTAATGTGCTGCTTAAGCAATTCTAGAGCCATATGGAAGATTACAAGTTCAGTTTCTTGCTTGACCTGTGCATGCCAGACACAGACACCCATGATCCTGGCTGGCTGGGAAAGTTGGGGGATTGATGGGCATGAGGCCTGTTGAAGAGTTCTTCTCTTTCTCTCCTCCCTCACCTCTCATGTCTCACTCTCATGAAAGGCATAAACTTAAAGAATGAGGGGAGAGGTGGGCCAGATTCATTCCGAGAATAAAAAGTGTTGATGGAAAGGACATAGTTCCTCCTACCAAATGTTCCTTTGTGTCACTAGCAGGCAGACGATGTTGACTGCATGGACCTTAGGTCTTGTCTATTCACCTGTGCTCCTTTTCCATAATTTCTATATTTTTATTCGACTAATCTTATGTGCAGAACTGCATGTGACACTCTCTGTTAGGCCTTCCTCAAGTATTTCTTAAATATGAGTAGGGGAAAATCTCTAGTTCTTTGACCACAGGAAATTGTCCTTTGGTTAAAATAACAGATTTAAAAAAACAACAACTTGGTTAGAAAACAAGGGAAATTCTGAGTGATTATTTTGCTTGTTCATGGTTTTCCAGTTGTAAAATTAGCCCAAAAAGTACCCATGAGTTGGTGGTTAAGGATATGGGTCGACCCAAATTCTCAATGTGGCCAATTCCACTATTGTTTGACGCGTAGCATTTCTCACACCCCGCCCAGCTGGCTCACATCTCATGCACCCAGGCTGATCAAGGGCCTGTGAAAATTTAACTCAATGCAATTGCACAACCTTGAAAGCTCGAATTGCTTTTTGGGGTAATGAATGAGATTCTTCAATAGCCTTGTGAAAATGTTTCCAGTGGGTGGAAAAATAAAACCAATTGTCACAAACATAATTGTAGTTGTCAGGCCCAGGTGAAGTTATTATACAACTAAAAGAAGCAAAGGACACTCATTTGAACCACTTCAGGGAATAGACAGGATCTTCTGTTTTTCTTCCTACTCCTTTGTGGAATTTTTACTACTAAGAAGCTATTTCCAGAG